AATCCAACTTCTGCCTCGACAATTGCACAAATGCACTTTTCACTGGTATAGAACTCACGGATAGACTTCCCTACAGGGTGGTCTGGTCCGAATAAACACCAATAAACACATTTTAATTGAAAGAATAAGAATTTTAGAAATTGTGCGATTGTGACAGACGCCGATGAAGCACACAAGATGGCTGCTCAAGTCACATTTTGTCAAATATCACACGATTTAGTTGTTTTCTCGTCAAATGCTGACCAGACCACCCTGTACACCACTGTCACACTATCGTAGAAAACCGATTTTTGTTAATTTATCACTTGTGGAAGGCGTAAGTTGGATTCTACGATTTGACGCGTCCAGGCTCAGGAATATACACTGGTATAGTTCAAGGATTCTCCACTAGCGGCGCTTATGGTATTTGTCAGTCACTTTGGCCATGTTACCACCGAGCATCGATAAAACAGAGGGAAGTCGGTATATGTAACCTCGCAACACGTGCTGGATCGTATCAATTGTTTTGTTACGCTGTTGCCATTCGACAATTCTGCCCATCAGGAGAACGATGGAATACCTACGACTTGTGGCGAGATTTCGACTCTCGCCGAACATAGGAACAGAATGGTGCGACTGAAAGAGATTCAAGAATGAAGCAATACTTACGTACTAATGTGTGCAACGATAAACCTTTTCTATTTGTACTTGCAATGATGCTAATTTTTTTTATTACATACGAAATACTTGAAATGGCATTCCCGAGAAACAATAGTTATTTATCATTTATTGACCTAATTAATGCAGATGTTATATACTTACACATATATTTCATAAAAAGATGCAAAAAGAATACAATTAATCGCAAACGCTCCCTCAATCTTTTCATTTGTCGACCAGCGGAAATAGATTTTGAACTAACAACGATTTTTCGACTTTCTTGTATATATGTGCACAGGGATAAGGAAAGAAGGACTTGAAGGATTTGAAAAAAAGTACGATCTTCATATTATCAAAAATGTTTTATTTAAATGAAAATAATTATTGACATATATGGGGCGGCTGCCCCCACCACTCCGCCGGCCGCCGCGCCGGCTACCGCGCCGTCCACCGCGACGGTCGCTATACATGATTTTTTTTATCATTTTTTTTATTTGAAACAGTAAAATAAAAATTAGATCTTATAATTATATTCGTACATTTATATCGGTAGTGGGCAACTGTTTGCTCACGATCATCGAAAGGAGAAATTCCAGCCGCGCGATACTCGTGAACGATCAGTTGCCCACCTCTGATACCAGAGATGGGTAAATTTTTATTTAAATAAAAATTTCAAATAACGAATAAAAGATAAACAAATTAGTTGTTATGCGCCGAATAAAGATAATTCTGGTAATCTTTACTCGACGCATGACAAATAATTTTTTTATTTGATGAGAATTTATTTGACGAACAGATTTTATAAAAGTACATTATAAAAGTTCACGGTTTCATTCAATCCCTGCTTTCTTCATGAGGCGATACAACATTGTAACGCGCGTGCCAGCCTCATTGTCTGTGATGCCAGAATCGTGGTACTGTTTACCCCCACCACTCTCCCACTCCGACGTACCATCGTCTCTCACTATGACGTCCCGGCTACCCCCACTTTACGTCCACCGTGCTGGCACACACAAGCGTATCCCAACCCTGTCCGTGTGCGCTGGCCGTTCGAGAGACGGTGAGCTATATTTAGAAAAGAGTGGGGGTAAACCGTACCACGTTCTGACATCACTGCCGCCTTGGAAATCCTTTTCGAATACTACTGCGGCGAAAATTCACGTTCTCGACGCGATGCCCCGCAACCTAAGCGCGTGAGCAGTCAAGAGACCCTATTCGAATCCCAATGCGGCGGTTTTACTTTTTATTTTTAATTATTTTATAATTTCACTTTGTAACCTCTAAGTAAAATAAAAAAGTTAAAAAATATTAATTCGGGAAGCATTTAAAAAGAAAAAAATAAATGTTTTCCACTTCAATATCTAAATTTTTTATTATATACAGACATATTATGTTGTATACACATAAATTATTTTTACAATTAAATGGTATCCTTACAACCCTACTCATTACTACTCTGAACATTCGTACAAAAATCTATTAGATTAAAATATTGTCATAAGTGTATCTTCAGTCTTTTAAAATTATGATATATTTCGCCGCTAACGAAAACCGCTGCAGCTGGTCCACGTATATACGATGCCGAATGGTCTTTTGCTTTTCCCCATATGAATGGAAAAAAACACAATTGAAATAGTAATTTTAATAACATAAGATAAAATATTAAGATTGCTATGAACTTATCTTTTTTTTGCTGAATTATTCTGTAATTTCGCTTCCTCACTTTTGAGTAGAAGTTTCGCAGCTAACGAAAGTAACGAAGTACGAGTCTTTTGCTTATGTATATATCTAAAAAGAAATAAATATATAAATATAATGATAATCATAATTGCCATAGTGAAAGATAAAATATAAATATTATTGTAAACACATCTTTAACAAATTTTAAAAGACTGAAGATACACTTACGACGTCATATTTTAATCTAATAGATTTTTATACGAATGTTCAGAGTAGTAATGAGTAGGGTTGTAAGGATAACATCTAATTGTAAAAATAATTTATGTGTATACAACATAATATGTACGTATATAATAAAAAATTTAGATACTGAAGTGGAAAACATTTATTTTCTTCTTTTTAAATGCTTCCCAAATTAATATTTTTTAACTTTTTTATTTTACTTAGAGATTACAAAGTGAAATTATAAAATAATTAAAAATAAAAAGTAAAATCGCCGCATTGGGATGCGAGTAGGGTCTCTTGACTGTTGCTCACGCGCTTAGGTTGCGGGGCATCGCGTCGAGAACGTGACTTTTCGCCGCAGTGATATTCAAACAGGATTTCCAAGACAACAATGATTTCAGAATCGTGGTACGGTTTACCCCCACTCTTTTCTAAATATAGCTCATCGTCTCTCGAACGGCCAGCGCACACGGACAGAGCTGGGATATGCTTGTGTGTGCCAACACGGCGGACGTAAAGTGGAAGGCCATAGTGGGAGACAATGTTAGGTCGGAGTGGGGGAGTGGTGGGGATACAGCGTCCCACGATTCTGGCGTCACTGCTGGGGAGTCGAAGGCTGGCACGCGCGTTACAATGTTTTATCGCCCCATGAAGAAAGCAGGGATTGAATAAAACCGTGAACTTTTATAATGTACTTTTATAAAATGTGTTCGTCAAATATATTCTCATCAAATAAAAAACTTATTTGTCATGCGTCGAGTAAAAATCACCAGTATTATCTTTATTCGGCGCATAACAACTAATTTTTCTATTTGATGAAAATTTATCTTCAGCGTGCTATAAAGATTTCATCTTTATTTGTATATTTATTTGACGTAAAATAATTTTCTGATCGCGTTCGAGCCGCGCTGCCGAGGACTGGGGAGTCGATGGCCCGGCACGCGCGTTACAATGTTGTATCGCCTCATGAAGAAAGCAGGGATTGAATGAAACCGTGAACTTTTATAATATACTTTTATAAAATCTGTTCGTCAAATAAATTCTCATCAAATAAAAAAATTATTTGTCATGCGTCGAGTAAAGATTACCAGAATTATCTTTATTCGGCGCATAACAACTAATTTGTTTATCTTTTATTCGTTATTTGAAATTTTTATTTAAATAAAAATTTACCCATCTCTGGTATCAGAGGTGGGCAACTGATCGTTCACGAGTATCGCGCGGCTGGAATTTCTCCTTTCGATGATCGTGAGCAAACAGTTGCCCACTACCGATATAAATGTACGAATATAATTATAAGATCTAATTTTTATTTTACTGTTTCAAATAAAAAAAATGATAAAAAGAATCATGTATAGCGACCGTCGCGGTGGACGGCGCGGCGGCCGGCAGCCGCCTCATATATGTCAATAATTATTTTCATTAAAATAAAACATTTTTGATAATATGAAGATCGTACTTTTTTTCAAATCCTTCAAGTCCTTCTTTCCTTATCCCTGTGCACATATATACAAGAAAGTCGAAAAATCGTTGTTAGTTCAAAATCTATTTCCGCTGGTCGACAAATGAAAAGATTGAGGGAGCGTTTGCGATTAATTGTATTCTTTTTGCATCTTTTTATGAAATATATGTGTAAGTATATAACATCTGCATTAATTAGGTCAATAAATGATAAATAACTATTGTTTCTCGGGAATGCCATTTCAAGTATTTCGTATGTAATACAAAAAATTAGCATCATTGCTAGTACAAATAGAAAAGGTTTATCGTTGCACACATTAGTACGTAAGTATTGCTTCATTCTTGAATCTCTTTCAGTCGCACCATTCTGTTCCTATGTTCGGCGAGAGTCGAAATCTCGCCACGAGCCGTAGGTATTCCATCGTTCTGATGGGCAGAATTGTCAAAAATCGTTACTGTCAGGCAACACTGTCTTCGCGTAGTAAATACACAAACCCAACTTGATGGTAATGGGGAACAAAATTTATTTGTGGGTATTGCCGTTAGATGTCATATTATTAAGCTGTTCCAATTATCGATGATGTGTTTTCGTTAGTGTCCGATTGATTATATCAGCGCTTCGATCGATTCGGAGTTGGCCCCAAAGGAGTCTGCCCCCTTAAAACACTGTTATATTACCGGCGCTCCGGGTATAATAATTGTATATGTTTTCGGTGCTCCGAATTATTGTATTTTAATCATTATCGTCTTTGTTATATTTATTAATTGTGTACCATCGACGCGAAGAATAAACTAATTGTTCTATACAATCAAGAAGGTGCTTCTTCGCCACTTCCTTCTTCGAGTCTAATCTCGAACAGTATCGAATTCATTCCTTTTATCCACATGTACAATTATAAAGAAAACGCACGCATATTTTGTAATATCATTGACATTGCGATTAAATTTTAGATATTATCTTTAACTAATACACACTTTATTTCGTGTATTCATAGGCTGTTCGAGGAAAATGAGGAATTATTAAACATGTTCACACAGTTTCGTGAACTGAAGACGAAAGAACAACAAACCAATAGTATGGAATTAGCGCAACACGCAGAAAAAGTTATGTCTGCCCTCGACGAAGGCATTAAGGGCTTGGACGACATGGACGTATTCTTGACCTGCCTTCACCAAGTCGGAGCGACGCACACAAAAATCCCCGGCTTCAATCCACAATATTTTTGGGTAAGTGTTCTGAAAGTTTAATGCATATATTATCCAACTTTATTGGAATGTGTGTATTTTAAAATAACACTGGTCAACATGATTTTTGTCCCAAAGAACATTTATACCGATTCTTATAGATTTTTTTGTGCTGAATACGAATCCGTAAACAGTTTTTTGCCATCACCCTCGGATTCCGAGAAATTTAATTTTAAAAAAATGCAAATATTCAAATTTGAACATTTCCTGTGTTCAAACATTCATAATTATTCAGTTGATTGTTACGTCAAATTATTCTGTAAACTCTCCCAAATAACATGGTACAGGTTGTTATCGCATTATCAACATTTAAACATGTAAACTGTAGGCATCGGCATGTGCCTTTGCTGTCCCGACGGTGGCTTTGTTAGTAACCGGCACGTGGACACGTGGAGACGTAACCATTGTGTCAGATATCGTCGTTGTGCCGCCGAGTCGTCGTTGCGACGCGGGCCGCCGACATAGGCATGAAAGACGGATACCGCTTCCGTGTGATCGACATCTACCGCCTGTGTGAGAGTGTGTGTGTGTGTGTGTGTGTGTGAACGAATGCCATAGTATATAAGAAAGACGACAGAAGCGGGGAGGACTCTTGTTTTGTACCGACTCCCGTCGAAGTCAGATCGACTCAATAAACTGTTTAATACACTAATCATTTCCTCCGCTCGACCCTCCTACAAATCAGAAGTGGGATAAAGGACTCGTGACTCGCGAATAAGCTCGCCAGTCCAGTAAACGGGTCGTTACGCGAATAAGTTCGCGCCGTAGAGTTTGATCGGCTTTCCTACAACTGGGAAACTCGCGAATAAGCTCGCCAGTTTAGTAAACGGGTCGGTACGCGAAATAAGTTCGCGCCGTAGTGAATAAGAGTACAATATAAGTGAATCAAGAATTAAGTGACATTTCTAGATCCAAGTGACAGTCATGAGTTCCCTCACGTTGGCCGTTTTAAAAGAAATTTGTCGAGATAGGGAGTTGCCGACATCGGGATCGAAACTCGAATTAATAAGCAGGTTATTGGATGCTGGTGTCCCTGAAGCAGAATTACAGTTAATATCGGCTCCCGCAGCAACCAACAGTGATCGTTCAATGGATTGCGAGGTGCACCAGGCGATGCAACCACAGGCGGAATCTCGGGATAGGCCCCTCACAGAGCTGGAACTGCTACGCAGGGAACGAGAGGTGACACAACGCGAAATGCAGTTGTTAAGAAGAGAACTGGAAATGGTCCGGCTAACACCGTCGTCGGATAGCAACTCGACACGTGGCCGTGAGGTTAAGTGGGGCGATGTTAAGGAAATGATTAATGAGTTTGACGGCGGAAATTGCGAAGTTGAAATATGGGCGAGACAAGTGAAGAAACTAATTGACACTAACAGTCTCGACGAGCAGGCAGCAAAGGCACTGGTTTGTCATAAATTAAGAGGAAAAGCTCTCAGGTGGTATTATTCGAAGCCTGATTGTGTGGACATGAAGTGCGACGAGGTGCTGCAGGGACTGCGTAACATGTTCGGGCAACGAATGAGCGTTTTGTCATTACGATGCGAGTTCGAGCGAAGGGTTTGGAAAAGGGAAGAAGCGTTCACCGACTACATGCACGACAAGGTGGTGTTAGGCAATCGGGTGCCGATTTCGGACAGTGAAATCGTCGATTATATTATAGAAGGCATACCCGATGAAAACATCAGATCCGTCGCGCGAGTGCGATGTTTTCAAACAACGGAGGAGCTGGTACGCGCTTTTGGCGGATTGGTGCTGCCTGGTGGAATGCAGCAGCAGAAAAATGTTCAGCGACGGGAGATGAATCTACCGAAGGGCAGAAATAACAAGGATCATCGCGAGCGGAAGGAGCCACAGCAGGTGAGATGCTTCAACTGCAACGGGAACGGCCACTATGCAGTGGATTGCAAGGAGCCGAGGCGCGAACGAGGGACCTGCTTCAAGTGCGGCGTTTCCGGACATAAGGTCGAGAATTGCCATGCTTCGCAGAGCAACGTCACCTACGTCACCACACCGCGAAGCGAGGACAACGAATTTTTCCCCACGGTAATGTTGGAAATCGGCGACCAAAGTAAGTTTTTTTCAACCAACTTAGACGCGCTGATCGATTCTGGCAGTCCTGTTAGTTTTGTTAAAGAAAGTTGCATACCACGTAGGCTTATATTGAGTTCGGATGATTCTAAAGGGTTTTCGGGAATAAACGGTAGCGTAATGCAAATTGTCGGGCGCGTGGAAGCAAGCGTTACACTTGACCACAATAAAAGTCGCATAACTCTGCTCGTTGTGGAAGAAAGAACCATGAAAAATTCTTTGGTACTGGGTAGGGATTTTATGAAGATCGCGCAAGTTTCTTTAAAAATAAATCCAGAAGTCATGGAAATTATGAATATCGAGTCAGTTTCAGTGAATGAGAGTCCGGCGTCTCAATTAATAATTAACGAAAAGATTCCACATGATACCCGTGTACAAACGCGTAAAATCTTCGAAGATCATTACATAAAGCCGACCAGACCCGAAAATCCACAAATCGAAAATGTCATGGAATTAACGTTAACGGACAGTAAACCTTTTCACTGTAATCCGCGTAGATTATCGTATATCGAGAAGTCCAAGTTGAAGGACAGTATAGATGATCTATTGAAAAAAGGCGCAATCAGAGAGAGCACGTCAGAGTACGCATCACCGATAGTGTTAGCGAAGAAAAAAAACGGGGAGTTACGAATGTGTATAGATTTCAGAACCTTAAATAAAGTGACAACACGTGATAATTTTCCATTGCCGTTGATCGAAGATCAATTAGATTTGTTAGAGGGAAAAAAGTATTTCACTTCCTTAGATCTGAAAGACGGATTTTTCCATATTAGGATGCATGAAGAGTCTGTTAGATATACGTCGTTCGTTACTCCTCTAGGACAATACGAGTGTGTAAAAATGCCATTTGGCCTAAAGGGCGGACCCCTTAAATTTCAGAGGTATATAACGCAAATATTTAAAGACCTGATCGCATCCGGAGACGTATCGGTGTATTTAGACGATTTTCTGATTGCGACCGTTACAATAGACCATCATTTAAAGATATTAGAACGAGTTTTTCGGTTGTGTGTTGCAAACAAACTCGAGTTAAGACTAGACAAATGTAGGTTTCTGCAGACGGCATTGGAATACCTAGGCTATATTGTTACAAGCGAAGGTATCCGACCGACCGAGCGAGGTATCAATGACGTAAAAAAATTTCCGGTGCCCCGTAACGTTCGAGATGTACAGAGTTTCATAGGGCTTTGCTCATACTTCCGAAAGTTCATTGAAAATTTTTCGATTATTGCCAAGCCGCTTGACGATGTGACGAGGAAAGATGCACAGTTTAGATTCGGACCGGAAGAGGATCACGCGTTCGAGACATTAAAAAATTTGTTAGTTTGCGCACCTATTTTAAGTATTTATTGTCCGCGCGATGAGACCGAACTCCATTGTGACGCGAGTGCGATAGGATTCGGTGGAATTCTGATGCAAAAGAAGACCGATCAGAAGTTTCATCCAGTATTTTACTTCTCTAAAAGAACCACAGACACTGAAACTAGGTACCATAGTTTCGAGCTAGAGACGCTAGCGATAATTTATGCACTACGGCGATTTCGGACGTATTTGTTAGGTATCCGTTTTAAGATAGTCACCGATTGTCAGGCACTGAGCCTAACGCTAAACAAGAAAGATACCAATCCGCGAATTACTCGTTGGGTTTTGGAACTGCAAAATTATGATTATGCGCTTGAGCATAGAGTCAGCTCTAGAATGAGGCATGTAGACGCTCTTAGCCGACAAATTTGCGTCATAAATGACAATTCCTTTGACAGAAATTTAGCATTATGCCAGGATAAAGACCCAGAAATAGTAAAAATTAGGGAAAAGTTGGAAGATTCCGGGGACAAATTTTTTGAAATGACGAATGGCCTAGTTTACAGAAAGTTAAGGGAGCGTGCGTTATTTTATGTTCCTACCTCATTAGAATATAACATTTTACAGACATACCACAATGATATGGGACATGTGGGCCCAGAAAAGACCATAGAAAATATTTTAAACAGTTATTGGTTCCCGAAATTA